AAGAACTAACATGACTTGGGTGCCATTATGTCCTCTCTCCTTCACTTTTAAAACCCCATGTTATTCCATCGTTGACACCACCTCCTTCTGTCTGCTGCTCCTTCGAATACAGCAAATCTTGACGGACAATTGTGAAAGAATGTCAGTGTACTGGCACTTGCCTTATAGGGACAGTGAGAATGGCATGGTTGGTTAGAAGACCTGGGTTTGAATGATGCCTCGATACTTATTGGTGATTATGGAGAGGTCACTTAACCTGTCAAACTCTCAGTTTCCTCATTTGAAAAATATTTGCTGAGCTTACCTCACAATGCTATATTAATGAGAGTTAGAAGACTCTAGTTTACCATATCCTGCCCAAAACAGTAACACAAATGAGACATTAGGAAAAGATAGCACTTGGATTTGAGTGGCTGTCTATTCTGACTTCAAGAAAAAAGAACATCACCAAAGCTGAAAGGTAAAAAGCTCGTCCCAGGTACACTGCTCTTAATACCCAAAGTACCAGAAGCAAGATCTGCTGACTCTCAGGCTACCTGCTTTACTCTACTAGCACACATACTGCTCTGCATAACAGAAAGAAGAATGTATGGGACTTGCATGTTGAGTGAAAATGTAAATAGCCTCTGGAAAGGGTGAGATCAATAGTTCCAAAATTCAACATTGCACACTTTTAGCTTTGAAATATAGCTATGAGTGACCCATAAATCTGATCATGGATTCTGAAGATATGAAATAACCCTGGGAGATAAAAGGGAGTTTGAGAAAATTTCAAACAAATGAAGGAAAATAACTTGTTTTATACTATAAAAATGTACATGTAATATATATTTTGATACATATGCTAGTTGGATTATATTTTCATAATTATATATGTAATTATATTATAAATTGATATTGTTATATTAATATATATTATATAATATATTAGATATATATTTAGATAGTACTATAGTAGTAGATAGATAGATAGATAGATAGTAATAGATAGATAGATAGATAGATAGATAGATAGATAGATAGATAGATAGATAGGTATAGGCACATAATTTTTCCATAGAACAAAATTTGAGACAGGTTATCCCACAGAAGAATGATTAGATTTGCTGTGATTAGATCTAATAGGAAGAACTAGAATCAATAAGTGCAAATTTCAATGGACAGATTTTTGATTTGATATAAAGCACAAGTTTCTAACAGACCTATCAGCAAATGGAAAGAACTGCTTTATGGGGCTATGAGTTCTCCCTCACTGGAGGTCTTTAAGCAAAACCTGACTATTCATTAGGTAGCTTGTAAAGGAGATCCTCCTTTCTCCCCATGTAGAGGAGATTCTCTTTTGGGACTTCTCTGACTTTTCCATCATGCCACAGAAAGCTCATGGTTGGGATTAGCTCATCATCTTGCCTTGGGACTCCATCTCCTCACTACCCTCTGTCTCTCTGATTTGAGGGTAGGATCATGAATTGCATTTAATACCATTTAAGGAGAGAAACCAGCTCAGATACCTCTCATTTCTCATCTGGGGGCACTACTTTGGAACTTTTCTGACCTTACCACACCCCTAAATTGGGTACCTTCTCCTCCATACTCCTACTTTTCAGCTTCCTTTTGTTTTATTTTCCCCAATTACATCATAAACTCCTTGAGAGCAGAGACTATCTCTTTTTGTATTTGTATCCTTAGTGCTTCATATAATGCATGGTACACAGTAGGTGTTTAACAGATATTTATTGACTATTGAAATGTTTATAGACTAACCTTGTTCAACTATGGCTTGAACCAATTCATTCTGAGGTCTCTTTCAGTTCTGTGATAACCTGTGTGAAGAATCTTGTGTTACATAGCTTTACTCATGACAGACCTATAACAAATTATGAGGGGAATAGGGGATGTTTGGGGCACTTCAACTGATCAAGAAGAGATTTATCAATCCCTTGGTGCATTCTAGCATTATACTAGGTGTTATGGGGGGTACAGAGAAGTAAATGAACATGATCCTGGACTTTGTAGTGTTTAATAGTGGAATCTTGAGGAGTGACAATTTTTAATGGCCATTCCTCAGAGAGTAATTGGGAGTGTATGAATTTTAACTCTGATCTATGAGGTCTGTGAGAAGACTGAGAATTTTAACAATGATCTGTTAAGAGAATGAGTTTTAACTATCATCTAAAAAGGGATTAAGAGATTTTTATTCTATGAAGAGTATGTGAGAAGACTGGACATTAAACTGAAATTCTAGAGATATCATCAAGACTAAAGAGAAACTATATGAGGTATAGAAAGAAAGAGGATGAACAGAACTTTTTTCCTGAGAGAACTCTCCCAAAGTTAATTTTGCAAAAGAGCTTTATAAAGAGAATCTTTGAAAGACTTCGAAAGACATTTATCCTGTGAGCTCAATGGAATAACCGTTCTAAAAGTAATAACAATTTAAAAGTGGAAGTGACAACTCAGGTTGTGACATTTTTCATAACTGAAACATTGTAAATAATTTTTATGTCTATTTTATTATTTGTTATAGCGCTAATAAATTGTTCAGCCAGTAACTTTGATGTTTATTTAAATCTAGGAGATTAAAAGATTTTTATAGACAGGGAAAGACAAATGTGCAGTGACTTATGGGAAAAGAAGTTCCTCCAATTTATTGAGTAAATGCACATAATAAGCTTGGGTTGGTGACTCAGAGCTGATTGAATAATGAGAAAAAGAAGTTTAAGCTTCAGTAATCTATAAGAATATATTAAAATACAGTTCTGAATTACCTTAGAATTTGGAATGGTGAGAATTAATATGATAATGAGTCAAGTAGTAGACTAAGGGGTAATTCCTCTATACAGAAAGTGTTCAAGCTTAAAATCCTACTACATGAGCTGTCATTTATTAACTAATTAATTAACTAATAAAAGTAAGAAATTAATTAACATTTCAATAATGTATGGACACTGAGAAAGTTAATAACAAGAGTCATCTCTGAGAGAAATGATTATTTCTCTCATATATTAATAATCAATTATTGAATTACATTGAACTGAAGGGCATTGTTGATAGATAAGATTACCCGAACTCCTGGGTACATGCTTTTTGATTCTGGGGGGGAACATCCCACCCAACTAGAGAACTTTACAAAGAATTTAATCTAAGATGAATTCAGGCCCATTTTGTTTCATTCAGCCAGGTCTGAACAGAGGTGGACCTCCTTTTGTGTAGATTTCCCTACCTAGGCAGGAGTAGTTTAGATAAGAGATAAGTCTCCTTGTCCAAGACTGAGTGATCAGAATCATGTCCCTCAGTCCCTTATTAGAATAGATCCACCTCTCATTACAATAGTCATTCTTCTCATTGATTATTAACCAATCAGAGTGGATTGCCACCCTCAGAAACACCCTCTCTTCCAAGGGCATATAAGTATTGAGTGGGTTCCATGAGTGGTCTTTAGCATTCCAGAGTATCACTGACCCCTTTTATTAATTATGTGCTAGCTTGATTAATAAAGGGATTAATTACCCAGAAACTATGTCTTCCAAACCTTTTTTACATCACTCTTCAAAACATCAGCTACAAATGCTGATTTCTCTATAACCAAAGGAACCACAGGTCAACAACAATTCAATTTTCTCAGGGCAGCAGCTATAATTTCTTCACAAAAACTCTTCTATATAGAAAGCTTTCTTGAAATAAAAGAGAGTTAAATACAATGAGCAACTAACATTTATTAAGCACCTTCTATGTAATAGGTGTTGTGCTAAGCCCTGGGGATACAAAGAAAGGTAAAAAAAAAGTTCCTGCTCTCTTGAGAAGTTCACGGTCTGCTGGAGGAGACAACATGCAGTGAACTATGTGAACAAAAAAGATATAGTCAGAATAAATTCAAAATAACCAACAATGAGAAGGCTCTGGAATTAATGCTAATAAGGAAAGGCTTCCTAGAGAAGGTAAGATTTTTTTGGGGACTTGAAGGATGCCACATAAATCAGAGCAGTGAGATGAGAAGGGAGAGAATGCTAGACATGGGGGACAGTCAGTAAAAGTCATGAGATGGAGTGTCTTATTCAAAGAGCAGCAAAGAAGTCAGTGTCACTATATCAGAGAGTATCGGGGTGGGGGTGGGGATAGATAAGGTATAAGAAGACAAAGACTCCTCCAAAGATAATGGTTAACTCACTGAACTAATGTCTTACAAGGTGACAACTAGTTAACTATTCAAATCTTTTCAGGAAAAATGCTCCAACATTCTTTCTCTCTGCATCACACAGTCTTTGTAGTCACAGCAGATAACTCTCTCCAGATAAAAAATGAACTACTATCCCATAAGATTCTGTTATATTTCTCTTAAATACACAATGACAATATCCAAATTGTTTTTTGTCTGTGTAAAGTGGGATTACATATATCAACTATGTTTTAGGCAAAAATATTTCCTGGCAAAGAAATGCCCACAATTTTCCCCTATGTCTTTTTGATATGAAGTCAAATGCTTAATATATGGGATAAATGTACAGAATAGTGGGAGTTAGGGCCACATTGTCAGGATTCTTTACCCCTACCCTAATATCTGCAGGCCCTGAAGGATAGCAGTACCTATTGATAATGAGAAAGTTGAGCATAGGAGATGGTCTGGCAAAGGATGTACTAGTTACTGATGCGTTTCCATTGTGTGGTCCATCATGACAGATAGATCCTTTTATGTCAAAACTGTATACAGCCACTCGTTGATTTTTCTCGTATTTCAGGAACATGTCCCCCTCCACTCAAGATAAAAACCCAGCACTTCATTCTATGGAATTTTCTATTTCATCTGAACCCTTGGCTACAGATTTAAAAAGGAAAACCTAAATTTGGCATACCTCAATTCTATTCTAATATTTACAGTTTTCTGGCTGGTATTCCTGATTATCAAGACCAATATCCTAAAACTACAAAAAAAAACCCCAAACATTAGTTATCAATAGCTAGGCTAGCTGGTCTCATTTGTTCTTTTTCCTTTTCTCTCCTTCTCTAGGTTAATATCAAATACCGGTATTAAGCATTTGCCTGCTGTTTATAAGATTCAATCTCTCCAAAAGGTTTTGCTGTAAGTTTTTTTTTAAATTAAATTGTTTCCAAGAGTTTACTCAGTAGCTGTTTTTACCCAGCAGTCATTGGGCCTGGTAATTTGCATAGCCATTCTGGGACACCCCTTAATCACATAGTCCTGCACTGTGTTGGTGTGTAGAGACAAAGGGAGGGAGCAATACACTTGTGTTTTATAGGAAGCCCAGTTATTCCCTATTGGTAGCATTCAGCCTGTTATTCAGTAGGATGTTGTGACCAGCCTCCAACAAGAGAGGGAAGTAGTTAGAGTTTGTGTACCTGGGATTGGACATTTAGAGCTGGAAGGGACCTTAGAAGCCAATATTCCTTTTTCCCTTTCTGAGCCTTCCACTCTCTACTCCCTGAAAAACTTCCCCCAATAAACCAGGTGTTTTGGACTAGCTGTCCTAAACTAGAGAAAACTTAACAAAAATCTTTAAGGTGTTGGGGATTTCCTATGTTTTTCCTACAACATATCTTTCCATACGAAAAGAGGATCAGGAAACTGGCAGCCCTTAGTCTTTGAACTCTTGCTAATTCTCTAGTCAAGGGTTGCCAGGAACTGATTAATTCTATCAAGTAGGGGTATTAAGTATTTAGTGAGTTTGCCTCCTGAAATGAATTTGCATTTGCCTGGACAGGGTAATGCTTACCACCACATTACCATGACCCCAAATCTGAGGTCTTTAGTAAACTACAATAAGGTGACATGGAATGAGAACAACTGATGGTTAATTTTTAGGCTCCATGAAGAAAAACATAGTTTCCAGGGATCAGGCCACGATAGTCCTGTTGCTTTCTGGCCTGGTAGTTGACCTTAGGAGGGGCACTATATTTTAAGAAGTTCATTGATACATTGGAGAGGGTCCAGAGGTATTATGGCCAAAAGAACTGGACAAGTTTAGCCTAGAGAAGAGAAGATTGGGGGTGGGGTGGACATGCCAGTTGGGTTTGAGTGTTTGAAGGGTTATCAAAGGAAAGAGATCCCAGAAAACAAAACTGGGAGACTTAAGTAAAAGTTTCAAAGAATCAAATTGTGACTCGATATCAGAAAAACCTTCCTAACAATTAGAGCTGACCCTAAATGGGATGGGCTGCTTCAGGGAAAGTGGTTTCCCTTCACTGGAGATCTTCACACAAAGAATACTTTTTGAGTGAGCTGTCAAAATCATTTTTTTTCTTCTGTATAGAGATAGCCACCAAGGAAATTCTGATTCTGATTCTATGAATTTCCAATCCATGAAGCACTTTGACAAGTTAGGGGAGAAGAATTGGAGGTTGGAGAGAGGCTTAGGGTAAAGATATTTTTCTTGTACTGCTTATATTACATCATATAAGAAGCTAATTCATCTATTTATGCATAATGATAACTTTGGTTGTTGCCTTGAAGCAGAAGCTAGGGTAAATAAATTAATAGTAAAGAGGCCAAGATAGCAAAATACAGGCAGCAACTCAGCTGAACTCTCCCATCTCTCTCCTCCTAACAACTTTAAAATATGTCTCAAGTCAAATTTTAGAGTAGCATAACCAACAGAAGGTCAGGATGAGACATTTATCCAGCCCAAGATAACTTAGAAGGTCCGCAGGAAGGGTCTGGGATGCCAGGGTCAACGATGGCTTGGCAACACCAGCAGCAGGTCTCAGAGGCAGCTGCAACAGTGGTAGCAGCAACTCCAGGAGCTCTTAGCTTAGAGGTGGTAAGGGGTTGGACAACTAGTCAAAAAGAGTTTGTAGGGGACCCTTTGCTAGCACTGGGTACAGGACCCTGTTTTATTCTACATATGCAGGTCTAGGTTACAGTACCAGCTTGAAGAAGAACATTAAACTTAGTGACCAAGTGGCCACAGGGGAGCAGAAGCCCAAGTCACAGTTCAAGGCAGAAAGGAGCACTAGTACTTGCAACTACAGCAGAATAGCAGGCCTGGTCACAGGTCCAGGGCCAAGAGGAGCAGTAGTACTTACAGCTACAGAAGAGCAAGGTCCTTTCCTGTGTAAAGAACAGAGCATAAGCCAGGAACACAGACCCCTGACCTCCCTGAGAAAACAGCAGCATGAAAAAGCCTGGAGCTTGGGACAGTGCCCCTTATACACCAGGAGCAGAATCCAACTTTAAAAAAAAGTTTAAAGTCAAGAAATAGAATAGAAGAATAAGCAAACAACAACCACAAAACCTTTACCATAAAAAGCTACTATGCTGACAGAAAAGATCACAACATGAACTTAATAGAAGACATCATTGTCAAAACAGCTACAAGCAAAGTCACAAAGTAAAGGGTGTAAATTGGACACAAGCCAAATAAGAATTCCCGGAATAGTTCAAAAAAGATTTTAAAAATGAAATAAGAAGAAAAATTGGGTTAAAAATGAAAGTGATACAAGAAAATTATGAAAAGAGAGTCAACAACTTGGGGAAACAAGCATAAAAAATATAGAAGAAATAAAGCCAAAAAAAATATATATATATATATATATATGTAGAATTGGCCTAATCGTAAAAGAGGCACAAAAATTTGCTGAAGAGAACACTAAAAAGCAGAATCGTCCAAATGGGAAAAGAGATATTTAAGTTCATTAAGAAAATAATTCCTTTAAACTTAGGATTGGACAAGTAGAAACTAATGACTCCCTGAGACATTAAAAAAATAATAAAACAAGGCCAATAGAATGAAAAAAATAGAATAAAATATGAAATATCTGAAAAATACAATCTAGAAAATAGATCAAAGAGGAGAGATAATTTAAAAATTATTGGACTACCTAAAATCCATGACCAAGGAAAGAACCTAGACACTATATTTCAAGAAATTATCAAGGAAACTTACCTGATATCCTAGGGCCAGAGGGTTAAATAGAAATTGAAAGAATCCACCAATTACCTCCTCAAAGAGATCCCAAAATAACAATCCCCAGGAATATTATAGCCAAATTCCAGAGCTCCCATTTCAAGGAGAAAATATTGCAAGCAGTCAGGAAGTAATAATTCACATATCATGAGGTCACAGTCAGGACCACAGAAGATTTAGCATCTTTCTCATTAAAGAAGAGGAGGGCTTGAAATATGATATTTCAAAAGGCAAAGGAACTAGTATTACAACCAAGAATAACCTACTTAGCAAAACTGGGTATAATCCTTCAGGGGGGAAAATGGATATTTAATGAAGTAGAGACTTTCAAGCATTCCTGATGAAAAGACAAGAGCTGAATAGAAAATTTGATATTTAAACACTAGACTCCAGAGAAGCATAAAAAGGTAAACATGAAAGAAAAATCATAAGGGACTTAATGTAGTTAAACTGTTTACATTCCTACATGGAAAGATGATACTTGTAACTCTTAAGAACTTTATTATGGCAGTTAGAAGGAGTCTACATAGACAGAGGGCATGAGTGTGAATTGACTATGTGGGATGATCTCAAAATAAAATTAAGGTGTGAGAAAGAAGGAAGCATTGGGAGAAGGAAGAGAGAAGAGAAAGAATTGGGAAAATCATCCAACATAAAAGAAGTAAGCAAGGAAGAATGTTTCCAGTGGATGGAGCAGGGATGTGGGCAATGTTTAAACCTCACTCTTATCAGAACTGGTTCAAAGAGGGAATAACATTCATACTGGGTTGAGTATAGAAAAGTATAGAGTATAAAAACTATCTTACTCAACAGGTAAGTAGGAGAAGGGGATAAGTGGGTGAAGGAGAGGTCTGATAGAAGGGAGAGTGGATTAAAGGAGGCAATTAAGGGAGAGCAGATTAAGAGAGGTGGATTAAGTGGTCAGAAGTGAAACAGACTTTTGAAGAGGGACAGAAGGATAAATGGAGGAGGTGAATAAGATGGAGAGATATACACAGTAATCATAACTGGAAATGTAAATAGGATGAACTCACCCATAAAACAGAATTGGATAAAAGAATGGATTAGAAACAAGAAACTCACATGAAACAGAGTGACACACAAAGAGTAAAAATAAGAGGCTAGAATAGAACCTATTGTGCTTCAGGCTGAGATTGAAAAAAAAGGCAGGGGTAGTAGTTATGATCTCAGACAAAGCAAAAGCAAAAATAGACTTAATTAAAAGAGACAGTCTGACAAACTACATTCTGCTAAAAGGTACCATAGGCATAGGATACAAATTCTTAAAAGAGATGTTAAATGGCTAACAGAAGGAAAAAGACAATAAAACTATTCTACTGGGGGACCCCAACCTTCCCCTCTCAGAACTAGATACATCTGACCACAAAATAAATAAGAAAGAAGTTAAAGAGACAAATAGAATTATAGAAAAGTTAGATATGATAGAACTGTGGAGAAAATTAAATGGGAATAGAAAGGAGTATACCTTTTTCTTACCATTACATGGCACTTTCACAAAAATTTGCCATGTATAAAAACTTAACAATCAAATACACAAGAGCAGAAATATCAAATTCACCCTTTTCAAACCATAACACAATAAAAAGTGATATGCAATAAAGGGCCATGGAAACATAGATTAAAGATTATTTCAGAACAAAATAATCTAATCCTAAAGAATGAGTGCATTAAAGAACAAATCATATAAATAATCAATAATTTCATTAAAGAGAATGGCAATGACACAACGTACCAAAATTTATGGGATGCAGACAAAGCAGTACTTGGACGGAAATTTATATCTCCAAATGCTTACATGAATAAAATAGAGAAAGAACAGATCAATTAATTGGACATTAAAAAAAAAAACAGAAAAGGAACAAATTAAAACCTCCAATTAAAAACCAAATTGGAAATTCTGACAATCAAAAGACAGACTAATAAAATTAAAAGTAAGAAAACCATTGAACTAATAAATAAAACTAGAAGCTGGTTTTATGAAAAAAAGACAATAAAAATAAATAAACCATTCAGTAATTTGATTAAAAAAAGAAGAAAACCAAATTACTCGTATCAAAAATGAAAAAAGTGAATGCATCACCAGTGGAGAAAAAGCAATGATTAGGAATTATTTTGCCAAATTATATGCCAATAAATCTGACAATCTAAGTAAATGGATGAGTATTTATAAAACTATACATTATCCAGATTAACAGAAGAGGAAATAGAAAACTTAAATAACTCTATCTTAGAAAATGAAATTGAACAAGTCACAAATGAGCTCTCTAAGAAACAATCCCCAGGACCAGATGGATTAACAAGTGAATTCTACCAAACATTTAAAGAACAATGAATTCTAATACTGAATGAACTAATGGAAAAATAAACAAAAAAGGAGTCCTATAAAATTCCTTTAATGGCACAAATATGGTACTGATACCTAAATCAAGAAGAGCAAAAGTAGAGGAATAGACCTAATGAATTTTCCTAATGAATGTTGATGGAATTTTTAAAAATAAAATATCAGCAAGAAGATTATAGCAGTATGTCACAAAGATCATACATTATGACCAGGAATTATACCGGGAAGGCATAACTTGTTCAATATTAGGAAGACTATCAACATAACTAATCAGATCAATAACAACAAACAATAAAAATCACATGATTATATCAATACAGGGAAAAAAAGCTTTTGACAATATACAACACTCATCCTTATATTTAAAAAAAACACTAGAAAGCAGAGGAATAAGTGGAGCTTTTCTTAAAATGATAACTATTATCTAAAAGCAAGAGCAAGCATTATCTGTAATGAGGATAAACTAGAAGCTTTCAAAATAAGATCAGGGTGAAGCAAGGATGTTTATTATAATGACTATTATTCAATATTGTACTACAAATGCTAGCTATAACAATAAGAAAGAAAAAAGAAATTGAAGAAAAAATGGGCGATTAAGAAACAGAACTATTACTCTTTTCAAATGATATGATGGTGCATTTAGAGAAACCTAGAGAGTCAACTAAAAAGACAGTTGAACCAATTAACAACTTAGCAAAGCTGCAGGATAACAAATAAACCCACATAATTTATTAGCATTCATACATATATATATGTACGCCTATAATGCATACATATATACTATATATATTACCAACAAAACCCAGCAGCGATAGAAAGAGAAATTCTGTTGAAAATAATTGCAGATAATCTAAAATGCTTGGGAGTCTACCTGTCAAGACAAACCCAAGAACTATATGAACACAATTATAAAACACTTTTCACACAAGTAAAGACTGATCTATACAATTTGGAGAGATATTAGTTACTCATGGGTAGTTGGAACCAGTATAATAAAAGTGACAATTCTACCTAAATTATTTTACTTATTTAATGCCATACCAATCAAGCTACCAAAAACTGTTTTGTAAAGCTAGAAAAAATAATAACAAAATTCATTTGGAAGAACTAAAATGCCAAGAATATAAAGGGAATTAATGAAAGAAAGAAAGAAGGCAGCCTAGCAGTACCAGATTTCAAACTATATTACAAAGCAGTAATAATGAAAATAATCTGGTACTGGCTAAGAAATAGAGTGGTAGATCAGTGGAATGTATCAGGTGCACAATGCACAGTAGTAAATGACCATAGTAACCTAGTGTTTGATAAATGCAAAAATATCCAAGCTTTTGGGACAAGTACTCACCATTTGGCAAAAACTACTGGGAAAACTGGAAAGCAGTTTGGCAGAAACTAGTTATAGACCAATATCTCACACCATATTGTTGAAATGGGTACATGATTTAGACACAAAGGATATCATAAACAAAGTAGAGGAGCATGAAAAATTTTACCTGCCAGATCTATAGAAAAGGGAAGAATTTATAACCAAACAAGAGACAGAGAGGATCATGGGAAGTAAAATAGATAATTTTCATTACATTAAATTAAAAAGTTTTGTACAAACAACAACATTGCAGCCAAGATTAGAAGAAAAGCAGGAAGTGGGGTGGGGGTGGGGAGTGTAGTTTATGGCAAGTTTCTCTGATAAAAGCCTCATTTCTCAAATATATAGAGAACTGAGTCATTTTTGCATCGATAAATGGTCAAAGGATAGGAACGGGCAGTTTTCAGAAGAAGAAAGCAAAGCTACCTATAGTCATATAAAAATCTAAAATCTATAAATTCTAAATAAGTTCTAAATCAATATTGATTAGAGAAATGCACATTAAAACAACTCTGAGATACCACCTCACACCTATCAGATTGGCTAATATGACAGAAAGGAAAATGCCAGATGTTGGAAAGGATATGGAAAAGTTGGGAGACTAATTCACTGCTGGTGGAGTTGTGATTTAATGCCGCCACTCTGGAAAGCAATTTACAACTGAGCCCAAAGAACTATAAAACTGTGCATACCTTTTGACCCAGAAATACCACTATTAGGTCTCTAGCCCAAAGAGATCAAAGAAAAAGAAAAAGTAACTATATGGACAAAAATATTTATAGCAGCTCTTTTTGTGGTGGCAAAACATTGGAAATCGAGGGGATGCCCATCAATTGGGGAATAGTTGAACAAGTTGTGGTATACGATTGTGATGGAGTACTATCATAGGCTATAAGAAATGATGGGCAAGATGGTTTTCAGAAAAACTTGAGAAGATTTACATGAACTGACATAAAGTGAAGTGAGCAGAACCAAGAAAACACTGTACACAGTAACAGCAATATTGTACTATGATCAACTGTAAATGACTTAGCTACTCTGATCTAAACAGTGATCTAAGACAATTCCAAAGGACCTATCATGAAAAGTGCTGTCCACCTCCAGAGAAAGAACTGATGCAGTCTGATTACAAATTGAAGCATAATTTTTTCACTGTTTTTCCTTGTTTTTTAGCAACATGATTAATATAGAAATGTTTTGCATGCTTTCACATGTATCATTGTTATCACATTTCTTGCCTTCTCAATGGGTCATTAATGGGACGGAGGAAGAGAATTCAAAAGTCAAAATCTTTTTAAAAATAAATATTAAAAATTAATAAATTTGAAAGACAAAAAAGATATTAATGAGAAATTCTGCAGCCTCACATCCAGCAAAAGAAAAATAGAGGGAGAAATGGTTCTGAGAATTAGGGAAAGAAACCAACTGGAAGATAGTTGAATAATGGAGGAAAAACAGAAGATGAACATTAAAGGCAGAGAAGGAATCAGTATGGTTAGTGGTTGAAATCTAGACTAGAAGTCAAAGTAGGGAGTTGTAAATAGTGGAGCCCCCAAAGTGAGAGTAAGGAGGTGAGGGTTGACTCAAGGTCAGTGTCAGAGGCCAGACCAAGGCAGCTAGAACAGGATCACTGTGTCCAAAGAAGCCAAAAGAAAGCCAGGAACTAGCAAGTAAATGTCCCATGATTTGCCAGGCTGGGCCTGTTCCCTGGAAGAGTCTTTTTTTATTTTTTTCAGCAGCCTCCTCTTCTAGCTTCTTAAAGGGCCAATGCTGCCAGATGGCAGGATGCGCAAGCACATTTCCCAAACTGCACAAAGACCAGCTGTGGAGATGGCAATGATAAACCCTTATTTGCTAGAAAGAACTTTTCATGGGGAAATCAGCTGAGAAACTCCTCAAATGGCAGTGATATGAGATCACTGCAAGTCCATGGATGGGAAGAAATGACCCTGCAGATAAATTGCAAGCTGTCATTTCCAAATGTTCAATTCATCCTCCTTTACTGCAGCCACATGATTAAAAAATGAGCTTGACCTCAGACCAAAACACTCAGAACCTTGTTTACCAGATTACCATGAGAAGGATAAATAACCTCTATTGTCAAAAACATCTGATTTCTTTTTTCCTTTTTCTTTTTAGAGACATTCAAGATAACATCAATATCCGAACAATTGAAAGAAATTCTTTTGCAGGACTAAGTTCTGAAAGTGTGATCCTGTAAGTTTTTTTTTAAAATCAAATATATCAAATGTATTTTAATACCATAGTTTCTCCTCAATAATAAATGCATCTTTCTGACTTGTAACTTTGGCATCCAGCCACTGAAATTATTTCCTTGCTCTATGTGTCTCCCTCATTTCCCATCTTTACATATCAGAATCACAACATGGAGTCATGTTAATAATTTATAATTCTGTGGCATAATTCAAGTATTTAAAATTGCTCTTTGAATGATGGTCTCCTGTGATGCAACATCTGTTGCAAAAACAGAATAACTCATGCATCCATAAAGCCAGCCATTGCAGGGAAAGATGTTCATGGTCTGGATAGGAAAACTGGGTGAAAGGCTGGTCTGGAAAGATATGGCAATATGTTCTCACAATAACACAGGCCAGCTACTGTTGGACCTTCTTGCTGAGAACAAAAGTGACTTCTTTCCATGGAACAATCACGTTTTGAATGAGCTGGCTCTGTTCTCTGATTATTTTTTTTTTTGTTTAGTTTTAAAATTCATTGTCTTTCCTATGGTGTTAATAACAAACCACCTTCTAATCCACTATGCCAGGGGCCAGATTTGTAAATAACCTGCTCCTTATGGATCCCTCAGGGCCATGGAGCATCTGCAACCTAAGCAGTCTCTGGAGTCCTTAGAATCTATGAAAGGAAGAGGCTCAGCTAGGAGCTTAGTGAGAATTTTTGGGAGAATGATAAGGTTGTCTAACAAAGTATGATCATAGCCTGGACTTTGCAATTATACTAGTGAGGAAACTCTTTTCTATCTCTGTCTTAGAACCCAAGGTTCTAGTGACTTTTAGAAAAAGAACGATGAAATAGAACAAGGGTGTAGATAGCAGATCTTAGCTTGGACTGTTGCAGTAGCCTAAATAGTCTCTCTGTTTCCCAATTGCTGCCCTGTCTAATCCATTTTCCAAACTGACAGATTATTATTCAAAAGACACAGGACTAAATATATCCTCTAAAATCTTCAATGGCTCTCTATTACTTCTGGGATAAAACAAATACAAAGTAGTCAGCCTAGCATTTAAATCCTCCCACGATGTCTCTGGCCCAGCTTTTTATCCCTCCACTTTCTCTCACCATGTTCCAAACAAACTGACCTATTTACAATTCTTTAAACTCCACATTTCATCATATAATCATGCCTTTGAGCAGACAGTGAAGACCTGAGTTCAAATTTGTTCTCAGATACTCACTAGCTGTGTAACCGTGGGCAAACCACAGAAATTCTGTCTGCCTCAGTTTCCTCAACTTCCCATTCAAATCCTTTTCTCTCTTCAATGCCAAGCTCAGGTATCACCTTTTCTATGGAGCCTTTCTAAGTCTACCCTCTCCCCTACTCTATTGAAAATAACCTCTCCATCTCCCCAAATCTTCATAGCACTTCGACAAGACCTCTCCTCTACTCTCATCACATTTGACTTTTAGTTATCATTTATTTATGCACCTATCCTATCCCTCCTATTGGATTATAATTTGCTTGAAGGGGCTGAATACGTTTCCATCCTTGCATCTCTAAAACTTCTTCCTTTTCCTTAATGCCATTTGTTGTTTTATAGCCCTTTGACAATGCCAGCCTGGCCACAAATACAATCACAGTTGTTTTTCATCCCAGCTTGAGAAGAGGAGAAACTAACTGGAGATAAGAACTAAAAGGAAGAGGGTTTTTTTTCCTCCCTTACAGTGAGAGATCCTGTATGGGAAAAGGTGAAGATTATACCACAGAGTCCCAAGGAATGCTAAGCTAAGTGGCTTAAGGCCTCCTAGAAACAGTCTTTAGGGATTAGAAAAAGTATCCAGGGCATTTTCCTAGCAGATTGGTCTCACTTTCAGCCTACTGCCAGATCACCTCTATCCCTAAAAGGTGGCATAAGGCAGCTTTTCCAGCAAGCATTCTCATCTTAGGTGAAGGCTGGTACCTTTAGAGAGCTACATCTCATTTAAAAAAAAAAACCTACTGCTATATTGTTGGGTCAATGACCACCACACGGCAACAAAGACTTGGTGTAGCCCACTAATTCAGAGTCTCCTGAGCCATAAAGTACTCCCTGGTTGTAATTGTCTTAGGTCATGGGTGTATATTTTAGCAAGTTATTGCTTTTCTGCTCTAGTGGTTTGAAAGAGCTAATGCCTAATTTACACGCTAGGGAATATCTGGCTCCCTTTGGATGGGCAAACTGGCTAATTTGCCACAATGTCTCAAAAAGTAAGTTGCACCCTGCTTCTGATTTTTCTATCTATTAGGAGGTGGTGAATGATACTAATGAACTCAATAATTTACTTTCAGAATGTTCAAAGATTCCTTAAAAATCTTCGTTAATGAGTTTCTTTTTAGGTTCAACTTACCTTCACCTTACTCATCCAGATCAAAGGATAATCAATTTAGAACTGGAAAGGACCTTAATGGGTCATCTTATCTAACTCTTTCATTTTATAGATAAGGAAATTGAGGCCAAGAGAGGTGAAATGATTTGCCCAAGGTCACATAGGTAGTAAGTGGTAGGGTCAGAATTTGAACTCAGTTCCTCTGATTCCAAATCTAATACCCTATGCACTGCCCCTCAAGGACTCTAATGACCATAGTATAATTTAGATTAGGAATAGGCTTTAGAAATCTAGTCCAACCCCTTCATTTTACAGAGGAGAGAACTGAAGCCTAGAGAAAGGAAGTGAGCAATAAGTAGCTCCCATTCCAATCCAGTTAGTAGCATGGGGATACAATGGGAAGATGCCCTGGGTTTAGTATGTAAAGAGCAGTTCTCCCTTTGTCATGACCTAGGCCTCAGCTTCCTCATCTTATGTGGCATGGTACACTCTAGCTCTACTCTCTCAGGGTCTAAACTATTAGATCTCCTTCTATATCCTGAAGGGGTTGGGGAATTTTATTTTTCAATGGTTTGAGCCATCATCAGCTATGTTCCCCAACTATGGACTAGTACCCTAATTCCATTTGTGAGCTTAACCTCAGATAATTTTTACAAAGGAATATTTACTTCAAAGATATATTAATAGTAGACATATACACAAGTTCTCCAACACTTTGTGGTCATAATCTTCCCCTACATGTCCTCTTTCTCTGGGAGGGGGAATGGATTCTATTTGAAACCTAGTTCAGATCCTGCATAGCAGTGATCCTACCAATTTCATGTCCAAAGATAGGCTGCCATCTTCTTCTGGGGTGGATTCCCAAATTTCATTCCAGAGGACTGCTCCTTGCTTCTCAGGGCACCTAGATTACTGGATTTCTGGTCCCTTGTGTCTCACATTCCCAGTCTTTGAAACTCTACTCTCTGAAACAGAAAAGAATTGAGAAAAATCCAACAAGGTCTGGTTTTGTTTTTCATTTTTGTTGTTTGTTGTTGGGTTGTTATTTTTTTTTGGGGGGGGGAGTGGCACATATAGCCTGAGAAAAGGAAGATCTCATGGCTCTTCCTCTTAATTGATGGGTCTTACCAGACCCTGTGAATGAAGGTGCAATCTCCTTCCCCAGAGGTGAAAACAGCAAAGAGAAACTTGGCCAATGCTGCCTCAGGCCCTTTTGAAGAGCACAGTTTCAGGTATGCATCCAATAGAACAAAGCTCCTACCAACGTGGTAGACTGCCTGGAACCGGTTACAGAATGTCCAAGCATGCTTCAGTCGACACACCTTTCTTGCAAACAGCTTCCTAAAGTCCTCCACGTGAAGATACCATCTTAGGAAGATAGTGGAGGCTGCACCTGGATCAGACCCTCATTACATGTAAAATAAGAGGGGTGCACTAAAAGTTCTATAAGGTCCCATTCAGCATTGAATCTGTAATTGTTTCTACCACAGCATGCTTTCTCTCTTAATTGGCCCAGAAGAGAGAGTTCCTTGATTTTCAGCATTTTTTTCTTTTCTATTTTTTTTTGGGGGGGGGTGAGGCGGACAGGAAGGCAAGTGGGATTAAGTGACTTGCCCAGGGTTACATCGATTTTCAGCATTTCTGACTGCTCAGAGTAGCCCAGGTAGAAGGCAGCATCTTGAAAACAAATGAGCTTCTTGAGGGTCATCCTTCATACAAGTTTGATTTTTTATTGATCAGTAAAGCATGACTGAGAGATGGAATTGATGATTAAGCAAGGGGAACAGGGTTGGGACAAAGAAGATATTTAGGTTAATCTATGTCCTGATATTTCCAGATCATTTTCACATCAGCCTAGATGCAGAGAGGTATGATAAAGGCGGCTGATAAACCCTTAGTCACCCTTGCCTCCAAAACTCAGGCTCATCTTGTTAGCACAGTCAAAATCTTCCTATCCCTCCTCATCCTCCCCGCCCCAAACACCCATCCCTCACTTCACCCTATTCTGTAAATTAATTTCACTTCTTTTCTTGGCTTAACCCAGAGTCTCTCCCCCAGACCCTAAAAAACAGGTCACTGGGACAGGACCTTTGGCTAAGGACTGAGGGGTAAAGAAGAATGGGGGGGGGGACTTGCAGCTTATCCGACAGTTTACTTAAATTATTCCTCCTTTTCCCCACAGATAGGTCTGTTGCCTGGCTTTATCATGAGTGAGAGGAATGAGGCAATGAGGGAAAATATAAGCAAAATAATTTTTAATCATCTCCTCAATGCTCTAAGTCAATAGCTAAGGATGTCTCTCAGCACCTCACATGGCAGGCACACCCTCTGCATGTATAATACAATAGAGCCAGAACAACAGTGCCCACCACCTTACAAATGCCAACTGCTCTTGTGATGCTGCTGCACCTGAGGGCATCTTTTTATTTATGCCTCTAATTGCAGCCGTCTGATCTTGCCCCTGAGCTTCCAAGACTGAAGCCTCTGTCTCACTTGAAAGGCCTGTGAATAGGAAGAATCTCATTATTGGTTTTTAAATGCTTACTTTATTGCAGATGGCTGAATAAGAATGGGATCCAAGAGATACGGAACCAGGCATTCAATGGAACCCAACTGGATGAGCTGTGAGTAGGCTTACCCCGGAGTCCAGATCACTTAGAGGGAAATGGTTCTTCAGGCAATGCTGTTTATTGATATTCATCTGATCTGCTTTTTCTCTGCTCAACCCTCTGCAGGAACCTTAGTGACAATATTAACCTGGAAGACTTACCTAATGACATTTTCCAAGGAGCCAATGGACCAGTCATTCTGTAAGTAGCTACCCTTTCACCCTTGTTCATTAGTTCTGAGATGGAGAGTACCATGAAAGGTCAATGGTTACTGCATAGCACAAAGTCTCTGAAAAGGCTTCTGGGAATAATTTGAGTCTGTCCCAAATCTTGTACAAAGCCTAAAGTACCATGTACATGTGCATAATATGCATATCTATGTGTATATTACAGATATACATACATATTTGTGGTAGATATATGATATATACATATATGTGTATACACACACACACACACACAGAGTTGTTTTTCAGTCATGTCCAACTATTTGTGACCCCATTTGGAGTTTTCTTGGCAAAGATACTAGAGTGATTTTCCATTTCCTTCTCCAGCTCATTTTATAAATGGGGAAACTGAGGCAAACAGGATTAAGTGACTTGCTCAAGGTCACTTAGCTAGTAAGGGTCTGCAGCCAGATTCAAGCTCAGGAAGATGAGTCTTCCTGACTCCATATCCAGAACTCCATCTGCTGAGCTACCTACCTGTCCATATACATATATAGCACTTATATATAAACATACATAGATATAGACATGCATATATGTATGTGCAATAGTATACATGTATAGGTACAAACATTGCATAATACAGATATGCACATACAATATTTATACACACATATATGTGTGTATAAAATTGTAAGTATGTAGATAGATAGATAGATAGATAGATACATAGATGTAGATACATACACATATACATACTATTACCTTTGGCAACCAATTACCTTTGGTGATGCTGCAGATAGAAGACTGGACCTGCAGTCAGAAAGACTGAGTTGCAATCCTGCCTCAGACACTAGCTGTGTGACCAGAACAAATGACTTCACCTCTGTCTGCCTTTGCATCCTCATCTATAAAATGCAGATAATAACACCTACTCTCAGGATTGTTATAAGAATCAAATGAGAAAATAGTTATAAAAGCACCACATGAATGCTAGCTATCATTGCTGTTGCTTGTCTTTATTCTCAAAGAGACCATGACATCAGCAAGGTGACCTGCAAGTGAATTGGATTTAAGTGAGGCAGGGCTGTGCAAAGTCACCAGCCTCACTCTCTCCTCTGAATCCATCTAGATCCCAGATATAGATCAGGAAAATTGGAGATGGTCCTGGATACAGTGAGAGACCTTGGCCTTTTTTAAGTTAAGGTCTTTCCCAGGTCTCAGTCTGATTGAGGCAACATCTATTCAGTGATTAAGGTTGGGTAAGAAATGAGGCAAAGAATGGCCTCTTTTACCTAGTTTGCAGAAACTATTGCTATTTACACTCACTCTGAGCCATCAGGACCCAAACAATGACCAAGTGAGGCTTGGGCTAGGACCTGTTATTGGCCAATAAATGAGAGCCAGAATGATCTGGATTTAAAGCATGGGCATCTAGTTGGTAAAGCCCAAGATATCTTGCAAGTTTTCAGTGATCAAAATTTACATTCCTTTGGGAAGAGCACCCTCAGGTAACGGTATGATACCCTATGTGGACAGAGAGAAAGGAGGAAAGGAGAAAGGGAAAAGGAAGGAAGGAAGGAAGGAAGGAAGAAAGGAAGGAGGGAAAAGCTATTATTGCTATTATTATTACAGATAACCACCCTACAAAAGGAGATTGATTGCTGCTCTCCATCCACACACTTTACTCTGACCAACCTTAAAACTCCACATACTCCCTCTAATTACCTAACACACAAATGCACTGATCTTTGGACCCTCCTTATCTAGCAAATAGAGTCCAAATTCCTTAGCCTGTCTTTCAAGGTCCTCCACAGACTGGCCCCTACCTAGATCTTACACCCATTCCCTCGTTGGCCTACATATACGCTATATTACAACCAATTATTCATCAGTGCTTCAACATGTAATGCATAGTCCTGTTTCCACATCTCTGGTCATGCTTAGCCTCTCATCTGAAACGCTCACTTTTCTTCTCTTCACTTATCTAAGCACTACCCTTCCTTTGTTGTTGTTGTTGACAGCCAGCTCAAGTTCTGCCTTCTCCGTGAAGCCTTCATCAAATACCAGGTTCACCATTTGTTAATTGATTAATTGATTGGCCTTGATCCTCAGCGATCACTTTCTCCTCTCAATTCCTATAGCAGGTCTTATTCATACTACTCAATTTTATCACATTTAATGGACATAGAATACACAGTATAGCATGCTGGCATTTGAGTCAGCAGACAATTTCAAACCCTATCACTGATACTCACTGGTTCTGAGATCATGGGCAAGTAAGTGAACCTCTCATATAGCCAGCTTCCCAATCTGTAAAATGAGAATAATAAAAATTGTACTACCCACTTCACTAGGTGATTAGAACAATGTTTTGCAAAACTTAAAGTGCTACTACATAAATATAAAATATTATGGATAGAGCACAGGTCCTGGAGTCAGGAGGACCTGAGTTCAAATCTGGTCTCAGACCACACACTTGACATTTACTAGCTGTGTGACCCTGGGCAAGTCACTTAAACCCAGTTGCCTCACAAATATATATATGTATATGTGTATATATATATACAATATATATATATATATATGTATATGCATATGCATATGTATATGCATATGCATATGCATATACAAATATATATGTATATGTATATATATGTATATGTATATGCATATGCATATGTATATGCATATGCATATGCACATGCATATGCATATGTATATGTATATGTATATGTATATATGTATATGTATATGTATATGTATATGTATGAAGTATTATCATGCTTACAGCATGTCTTACCAACTAGGATATAATCACTTCAAAAGAATGGGTGGTGTTTTGTACTTCTATGTCCCTCTATTGCCTAGCTTAGTGCCCTGTGCCTACTAGCTATTCAATAAATTTTTGTTAAAATGATGGTACAAATACCATGGCCCATCTGCAGAAACATACCCTTTAGGGGGAAACATAGGTATATCTATTCAAAGGTAAAAGGATCACCTTAAAAGTTCAAAGGCCTTTCCTTCAAGGGCCGACTTCAGTCTCACCTTTTCTATGTAGCCTTTCTTCAATGCCTGGCCCATAGTAGTTAATAATAACAATAATAAAAATGATGGCAATAATGATATAGAACATTTATTTACACTTTAAGTTTTGCAAAGTACTTTCAGTCAGTCAGCTAGCATTTATTAAACATAATACTGTGTGCACATTTACTATGTGCCAGGCACTGTGCTAAGTGCTATGGATACATAAAAATGTAAAGATAAAACAAAAACAAAAACCAGTCACTACTCTCAAGCAAACAATATGCAAACTACTATGTCCCAACATGATAGGCACAGAATAATTTAGGAGTAGTCTTAGAGGCAAGGCGCTTTGATTAAGGAGCAGCAGGCATGGCTTCTTACAGAATGAGGGAAGCCAGGGAAGCTAGGAGGCAGGGATGGATAAGGAGAACATTCCAGGCATGAGGAACAACTGCTGGAAATCCTCAGAGTGTGAGGAACAGGAAGGAGGCTCACTTGATCCTCACAACAACGCTGTGAGTAGGTGCTATTATGATCCTCACTTTACAAAGTAGGAATCTGAGGCTGAGAGAAGTTGTCTGAGGTGGGATTTGAACTCAGATCTTCCTGATTCCAAGTCCAGCACTCTATCCACCTGCCACTTAGGTAGGTTAGTGCTTAATAAATTCTTGCTAATGGATTCATTGATTGATCTAGACTTCAATGATCACTTTCTCCTCTGAACTGCTCTAATAAGTATATCTATACTCCTCAAATTGAAATTTGAGTGTCATAGTGTAGAATGTATTGGACACAAAGTGTGCTTTTGAACTAGGCAAAATAAGACAATTAACCCATTAGAAATCACTTACAAGGCAGTCAGACTTCAGGAGCTTATCCTTCATGACTTTCAAAGACAGAAAAAGGCAGCTTATTTTGTTCCTATTAAAGAAGCAGCCTGTTAATTCTGTGTAACTCAGATCAGAGTTGACCATGGTCTTAATGGCTCTGAATAGCCTTCTTTCCCAATAAGAAGCAGCTGCAGGTGTTGGGGGAGGGAAGGATGTTAGAGGGCTTTGCAGAAGAGTTCAACCACACATTCAACTGCATTTTAACTTACAAAAGGGAATGTGGCTTAATCTGAGATACCAGATATTTCATCTGAAGATGGAGAGGGGAGACGGGGACAGCAAGACAAGGACCCTAGCACAGAACTGTTCCTCCTAACATTTCCAAAGTGGGAGGTGGGAGAAGGAAAGGCAAAGGGGAGTTAGAGAAAGGATTGTAACCAGAGCTTCAGGCATGGTAATCATCAAGTCAAGGCAAGAAGAGGAGAAAGTTCCCAGTGGGTCTGCAAGAGGCTACATTAAATACAACAAAGCCTCTCAGAATAATGTTAGAGATTCAGCCTTTTAGAAATAAGCCAATGCTCATTCCCCAGAAAGATATTTCACTAAGCCTCATCACCTATGTACATATACCTTAATGTGAATGAGACAATTCAACTCAACAACCATTTCCTCAAGTACCTACAATATGCAAATCGCTATACTAGATACTAGAGACATAAAGAAAAAAAAATAGCCCCTGCCCTCAAAGAACTTACATTCATCTGGGAAATACAACATGTAAACAAACATGTATAGTACAAAGAAGATTGAGGAGGAAGAAAATACTAACTGCAATGATCAGGGAAGACATTACAGGGGAGATGACATTTGAGCTGAGAATTGAAAGAAGATAAGGATTTCTGAAAAGTAAAGATGAGAAGTACTTGCTATGCTCCAGTCACTGGACTGAGCACTTTAAAATTGCTATCTCATTTGATCCTTATAACAACCCTGAGAGATAGGTGCTATGATTACCCTCATTTTACAGATGAGCAAACTGAGGCAAACAGAAGTTATATTACTTGCTAGGCTCAGAGGATAGCTTATGTGACTACAGAGGTGAAAATGGAATATCAAACATGGGAAATAACTAGTAGTCCAATTTGGCTGGAACATAAAGTTCATGAGAGGAA